AATGTTTTGTTGATAAAATTTGATAATCGGGTTGCCGATTTTGGTGATCATAAGATTTCCAAGATTTGCCGATTTCGATAATCGTCAATCTCTTAAGTGTGACGAGCATTATGTTGTGCTAGGGCCAACAAATTTATGATCATTATCATCACCTGTTTTTAATTACGTAATAAACCCTCCGGACAATTATACTAGAATCACTTTCTATTATAGTACAATGCGTGATATGAATACACGTGTGTCACGCTAGGTATTATATACAGTAATAAACGGTATATTTTACTTTAGACACAAGATTAGTGAAACATAGATCATAATAAATATAATAGAAATAAATTATTCTTCACCCGAATGAATTATTCCTTAACGTAATCTCGATATGAACTGTATTTGGTGTAAATAGGAGACTTTTAGGACACAAATCAGGTTCATATATAGGTAATTGGATTTATCGATTTATCGAGCGATATATTTTGAACGCCTATATAGCCCGATTTGTATCCTAAAAGTCTCCTATTGGTGCCAAATATCTGCCCAATTTAATCTGTGTAAGCAATTTGCAGCCAACCACTATTAGGTTAGAGTTAGGGTTAGGTTAAGGTTAAGGGCTTAGGGTAAAATTGCATAAGGATCAGGTTTTAAAACGTGGGTGAGGATTATCAAATATCACCGGATGTGATGAATAAATGTACCCATATAATAACTGATCATCCAATTTGACGCTATAAAGATGTCATACATAATTCTCTTACTCTTACAATAACAGTAAAAAAAAAAAAAACCAATTTAAACCGGATTTTAAGTATGTCATAAAGAATGTCGTTTTTTTTAACAAAATTAAAAAACTCTAAGCTCCCAATAATAATCATGCTATCGATTCTGTGGATTATAACCATATTCTTTATTTCAAATTCTGTGTCATACAGACGATGGCAACCTAAAGCAAATGATAAGATAAATCCTTTCCCTGCACTGCCACCACTTTCAAATTGTAAAATTTCGGGAAATGCACGGTTTATTCCTCAATATAACATTGATAATCTATTTGGTATAATTTCATTTACTGAGGTTTTAGACGGAAATGAATCGATCGTTGATGGCGCGTTTTCAACTCCCCTTGGTGTAGTAGGAATAAAAACGATGAGTGGAAAACCCGTTTATACTGCTGAACTTTTTTTTAAGGATGAAAAGGTTTATGATTTAACTGGCCCAATATTTAATAATGCTATGAAATTAGTTACTCCCATTCCTTATCTTGTTCCTTTGACTATTTGTGGTGATAATTCGATCATTGGGAAAACTATAGTTATTAAAAGAGGTGGTAAAGAAATTGCAAGAGCTGATATCTCTGCTTTGAAATCCTTTGAACGTTTAGTGGATCCAAATTACACGTGAGGTGTAGGTTGGGTATAGTTTAATGAAAAGGTTATTTCCTACAGAATGTTATTTCTTCTATGCATTTCATAATATTCTTATATTTTAGAAATACATTTATTCAAAATTTTATTTTAGATTTCAAAAACCCTAGCTACGGCAAAAATTCTTTCCCAAAGATTCAATGTAATCTGATGAACTATAAATCTCTAAAGTTCGTTTATGTTAGAATTAGTGTTTAGATTAGGGTTAGAGGTTAGCAATTTTATCATAAAATTGCTCAAGAAAAAACTTTTGTCAGACATTTGAAAGATGGTTTCATACGTAATGTTTTCCTGGTCGTGCTACGTTACACTAAGCATAATTCTTTATTGATGCCAGTGTTAAAAACAGCTTGTAGTTTTTTTCTAAAAGCTAATTGAAAAAAGCACGTAGCTAAATTTACTATAATATAGTGGTCTGTTTTTTATTAAAGTTAAAAACTATATAAATTTTTATATGAATATTCAAAAATAGGATATATGTTTAAAATTAATTGGTCGTAATATTATTTTATTACGTATAAAAAAATACAGCGTATGCAGTAATTGCGTGATTATTATGCAGTATATAATTTAATATAAATGTTGGTTCTTGGCGCATATATCTATTATTTGGTTGATTTGAGTGTGTAAATGTTTTGAGCAAAATTTTCGCGTCAATCGCATTTTTTTTTCTGGCTTATTAGTTATCTCCCTGGGCTTTATTTGTTTATAAAATTTTTAAAATATAAGTGTGATAGGAATGATTTATCAGTTACGTTGTCATATCATCGGAAATAATTGAGACATCTTCCCAGCGGTGCACGTATGGGGTGCATATGCCACTTGGGGATATTTCATCATTCTCACCATCCCGGAAAATAAATAATACCACGCGATACTTTCATTTCTTTTCATTTGAATTAATTATTATTAGTATACATAAATAAACCATTATGAATACTATTTTCATTTTGTTCACATTGATTACAGTATTAGATAACAAAAAAATATATTTTCAGTATTGAAGTGTTTGAAACAAGCTATTCAAGTTATGAATGCTTACCATATAATGCAGTATTTTTATTCGCATTATAGTTGTTAGGTGAAACCTTTTTGTATGGATAAAAGACGAAACCTAGAACCAGCAAATGATGAAAGACGAAACGAAATTCTGGCAAGATCCGGAACCTAAAATTAGAAATTATGAAATGTGAACCTGGTGAAATTCTAATAAAAGTCGAATTTATAAGGATAAAAAGCTGAGCTACGTATAATCAGTAAGCTTTATCTAATGTCAACATAAGAGTGTGACTGTTAAATACCGTTATTAATTTTTGGTATAGCAAAGGCGGTTGAATGGTCTGAAAATGGATATTACAGTACGTAGAAAATATGTACTTTACATGATATTATCTAATCAGAATTAGAATTTATTAGAATAATTTGATTTACAATTGTATATAACATACAATTACAGATAATTTTATTTAATAAAAGTGTTGTATTTAAATTATTTTTTATGGATAAAAAAAAGTTAAGAACTTATAAAAGGAGTAAATTTTTAATAGTTTTAAAGTTTATTTATATTATTAGTTATATTATTAGTTATTAATATTTATAAATTTACACAGTATATATACTGTATATTCAAGTATTGTATTTAAAACTATACTCTTTGTATACTGGCATAAAATTTTCAGTAGTTAATTTTTTTTAAATATTTTTTTAAATATAATTAATTTATTTAAAGTTATCAATGATTACGCAAAATAAAAAATTGTTATATTGTATATTAATGTTAGTACCGTAAACTGCCGTATACAAGATCCCCCCAGATATCAGACCCCCTATGTACTATACCCGGGTCTACAACATAAAGCTTTGGTAAAATGTAAGAGACTCGGGGTATATAAATATGAAAAAACCAATAAAATAGAATAAAACCCCCAATTATCAGACCCATACCTAGGGAAGTTAATCGGTCCCACAGTAATTGTCAGCCGACTTTGATAAAAAATTGACATTTTTAACCGGTATTCGTTAGTTTTTGAGTAATTTTGATGGGACCGATTAGGGACCGAACAGTGTGGAGAAATTTTAGCTAATCGGTCCTATTTAAATTACGCAAAAACTAATGCAAAAACCGATAAACTTCTATTAGAAAATGTAACAGAAAATTATTTTTCTATGACTTTATTTACTGACGAATACCTGAAAGCTCAAGAACAAAAAATCATCTCAGTATTTAGCAAATTGGCTATGAATAATCGTAGCCGTTCGTAGTCGAACCC